TGCTAAATGAATCACTGCAGTTGTTAAAGTTAGCAACATGGTTGCTAAGTGAATCTGGCTTCCCTATTGACTTTGCTTGTCAGAAGGTCGCAAATTTTTATCATTTGATCATGGGAATGCTACAATGGTCGTAAGTGTGAAAAAATGGTCATAAGTCAAATTATTCAGTGCCATTGTAAGTTCAAATGATCCCTAAACGAATTATTGTAAGTTGACTACTGGTAATATTTGAGCATTGAGATATTTTCCAAATCACTTTTTAATTGATTATGCTTCAAGTCCACTTAAGAACTTAGGAAAATGAAATGTAGATATTTCAACCAGGAGTGGTTGAAACCCTTTCCCTCAAGACTACATGTCAACCAATTGCCTTTTTTTGAAATTGTCTTCAAAGCCACTCTGAAAACCAGTATATTGAGACAGAAAACAAACAAATAAACCTCCATAGCTCTAAGTTGGATGATGGCAGTTCGGCAGTTCAAATTCCTAGTACTGGTTTCCTGTGTGAACAGGGGGTTGGACTAGATAACCTCCAAGGTCCCTTCCAACTCTATTACTGTTAAATGTCTTCATATGGAGCAAACAAAATAACACAGAAGGGTGTGCAGGACTGATGGTTTTCAGAATTCTCCATTGGGAAAATCTTAACATGAAATGCATTACCATGATATATGAACCCAGTGAATTATAACTATGCTAACTTAAGTGGCTGGTTCTGAGTTGCTACTATTAGTCATAATTGTATGGCGAAGTATTTGTGACCCTGGACATGGCTCATTTTTAAAAATGAACCGTAATTAGCCAGGTTCACACATACCAGAGTTTATAAATAATTTTATGGCATGTCAAATTTTTCAAATTTCAATTTCTAAACATTAAGGGTGCTCAAAAATTGTGACATGCCTTGGGGATTGTAAATATATCTTGGTTGCTTTAATATAATTTAGATGTGCTAGGTAAGTAACTACATAAATATCATAACTTTTTAACATTTTGTTTGTTTCATAGACATGGCTTAACAGTGGCTTAATTACTAGATTGACAAATATTCACTGAGTCCACAAACAAGGAAACATGCCAAAGCTAGTGTGTTTTATGAACCTAATCAGAATAAAATTGAGCATCCAGTCTATTTTTTTTCAACACTTCTAAAACCTTGATTAATGTACTCAATATCGTTGTACATATGTTTTACACTGACTAATCATCATCATCATCATCATCATCATCATCANTTTTAAATCTGTCTTTTTTTATTTTTATTATTTCTTTTCCTCTTCTTTTTGTAAGCCGCCCGGAGTCCTTCGGGATTGGGCGGCCTATAAATTTTATTAATAAATAAATAATAAATAAACAGTAAATACCTTAGAGGATATATTCAACATTTGAGAAGATTTTGACAAGCTAGTCAGTGGACAGCAATCAAACTTTTTAAAAACTTGATTCTTTTGTTCCCTGGCTAGTTTGGTCAGCCCTGTGTTTGCTTCTCTTCACTTTAAACAATGCTCTGGATTTAAACAACGAAACAGACTTCCAAAGAATATTTATTTTCTGCTTCTGTCATCATGGTTTGGTGCCAGAAAACTGGAAAATTTATTCAAGGAGAAAGCAGGAAGTATGTGCTTTGCTATATATACAGGTTGAGTAATATCTCTGCAGATTACTGTTGCTGAACTGTATGAATATTTATTATGGACTATGATTCTGATCACTAAGAGTTGTTTGTAAAGCTTTCTTCTTCTAGGATTTGTAAAGAAAGCTTTAAAAACTGTTTTAACAGTAAAGAGGAAAATGTAAAAATAAATGCAATATTGGGCTGAGAAATTCTACTACTGCAGAGGTTTGACTTAATTTTGAGCTTTTTAAAAATAATTTCTGGAAGAGTTAACAAAAATTATGTACAGATAATTTTCTTTTAATTTTCATAGTCACAAGCTTTTATTAAAAGTAGCTAAAACACCAAGTGCCACATTTCATCGTTGTAGGATTGCTTGTTATACCAGCAATGTTTTGACTATAACTAATAATTAGTAGTGAAAAAGTGGTAAATATTTACATTTTATATTTGTCTGTATTGTAACTATATTGCAAAATAGTCCACTTGCTAACTGTTGTTTGTGAAACTGATAATGACCTGCTTGGTGAACAAACAGGCTCAAGTAGGTTTCTAGCAGTGCAATAATTTCAGGGATGTTTAAAATGTGTTACGATCACATTTACAAACATGTCAATGTACTACAGAAGAATTATCTTTAGTATTGAAGAATGGACACATTTCTGGCTGAGGGTATACTGTGGCCAAAGTTGACATGTCCTAGGCTAGTGATGGCAAACCTTTTGTGGCTTGCGTGCCAAAAGTGGGGGGGAGTGCAGGGGGGTCGTGTACAGTGTGCCACATGCATAATGTTATGCGCACGACCAGCGCTCCCCCTCCCCATTTTTGGCGTGCTTTTTTCGCCCTCCCCAGGCTCCAGAGGCTTTATAGCAGACTGGAGAGGGCGAAAACAGCTTTCCTCGCTTTCCTGGAGACCCTCCGGAGGCTTCAGGAGCACGAAAAACCAGTCCAATGGGCAAACCAGAAGTTCAGGAACAGATTTCCAGTTTGCTCATAGGGCTGGTTTTAGCCCTCCGAGCCTTCAGAGCCGAGGTGGTGCAGTGGTTAAATGCAGCACTGCAGGCTACTTCAGCTGACTGCAGTTCTGCAGTTTGGCTGTTCAAATCTCACCGGCTCAGGGTTGACTCAGCCTTCCATCCTTCTGAGATGGGTAAAATGAGGACCCAGACTGTGGGGGCGATATGCTGGCTCTGTAAACCGCTTAGAGAGGGCTGAAAGCCCTATGAAGCGGTATATAAGTCTAACTGCTATTGCTAACTGCTATTGCTTCCCTGAAGGCTCCGGGGGGCAAAAAATGACTCTACGAGCAATCCGGAAGTGACTTCCGGTTTGCTCGTACATTCCTAAACTTCCAGTTTGCCCATAGGACTGGTTGTTCGTGCTCTGGATGCTTCAAGGAAGCCTCCAGAGGGCAAAAAATGGCCTCAAAAGAAGGCTGAAGCCTTGCGTGCCCTGATAAATGGCTATGCATGCCACTTGTGGCACGCGTGCCATAGGTTTGCCATCACAGTCCTAGGCAGTGTGTGACTTTAAATGTGAGTGTGCCCCTTATTTCTTTTCCATATGGTAATAAAGGTAATAAAGTTGTTCATAATAAGTCCCAGGTTATGTGTGGTATGGTTTCACATTATGTGAAATTCTTGACACAAAGACACACTTTCTTGGGCAAAGTTAGGCAAAGTGAATAGGACAATGATTAGTAATGTTATCTGGAATTATTTTGACCTTGAGAAACTGAGGATGTTCCCTGTATGTAATAAGTGCATTGCCATCTGTGCAACACTTACCTAGCTTATTCAAGTAGCCAATGGGATGTGCTAGTAGTGGGATTTGGAAATTGATGAACATCTCTGGGAGAATGTTATTCGGAAAGAAGCAGTGGACTCTCTGTTGTAGAGGCCATCTCTCAATTCAAGTATATTAACTCTCAGTGTCTCCAGCTTTTTCTTTGTGGTAAAGATTGTTGAGAAAGTGATAGCAACCAAGAACAACAGAAGAAGTAAATTCTTTGTAATTAATTATTTTGAGTTTCAGTCCCGATGTGGGATAAAAAAGACATTGATTGCTCTAGGGGTTACCTTCATCAGGACTTGGATGTGGGGAGAGTATCCCTCTTGGTCTTATTAGACCCTTATGTATTGTTCAAAATCTTCCAAAATAGTGTTTCTCTTTCATGGTTTAGATGTACTTTCATCCTTAGTTTAGTTCCTAGTTTAGTTTATCATTAGTTTAGTCCCAGAGTGGGCAGGTTCTAGTCAGTAGTAGTAGTAATAGTAGTAGTAGTAGTAACAGTAGTGAGATAAAAGATTCAATTCAAAGGTGATTCACAGAACTTGGTCCAAATATTATTTAACGTCTGCACGAAACTAATGGGAGAGATCATCCTTTGATCTGGTGTCAAGTATCACCAGTATGCTGATTATACTCATGTTTACATCACAACCCCAAATCAAGCTGGAGGTACTTTAATAGTCTTGAACTGGATCTTTGAGGGACTTTAGAGAAGAAAGAATGTGAAGGCCTCCTTGTCAGTAGTGCCATCTACTCTTTGAGCAGGAGCTGAGAATTCAAAAGACCCAAGATTGTATATCACTGTTGAGAGGAGAAGTGTGGTCCCATCCACAAAAAAAAATGGACAATTGTCAGGTCTAGGGAGCCCTAATAAACACAACCATTTGGTCTTGGTAGATTTGAGCTAGAGTTGGGTCCTACGCATCCAGGTTCACATAGCATCCAGATATGGTGACAGAACCGCAACATTTTGGTGTCTAAGCTTTGGGGAGGGCATTGCTTATTTTACTCTAAATGGGTTTTAATTGTACTAATTGAGATGTTTACTATGTTGCTTTTATATTGAGTTATATTATTACAGTATATACCCGTGATGGTTGACCTTTTTGGCACCAAGGGACGAAACTGGAGTGCATGCAAGCTGGAACCCGGAAGAGAGCAGCTGGCAGGTGCGCATACGTGCGGGGCCCTGCTGATATTCTGGTCTTTGTGCGAAGACCAGCTGGCTGGCACACATGTGCGTGCCAGAACCCAGAAGAGAGCAGCTGGCTGGCGCACATGTGCATGATGAAACCCGGAAGAGCAGTTGGTGATGGCGTGCATGTCCACAGAGAGGGCTCTATGTGTCATCTCTGACATACATGTCGTAGGTTCGCCATCACGGGTATATACTATCCAGAATGGTCTGGGTGGTACAGATTTTTTTAAATAAATGACTGGTTAACTAAATACATGTTCTAGGCAACATTACCAAATTTTTATCAATTTCAAATTGTACACTTACGTTAAGAATTTGCTGTAGAGCTGTGCAGGTGTGAGGCTGTCTAAATCAGGTATCTTTTACAAATCCAATTTTTATTTCCCTGTTTTCCAGAAGCCTAGTCAAAATGCAAAGTGAGAACCCGGGACCAGTAAATTACTATGTTGGAATTGATGTTGGCACATCAAGTGTCCGTGCGGCTTTGGTGGACCAGTTTGGCACAGTAGTGGCTTATGCAGACCATCCAATTCAGATTTGGGCACCACAACCTGACTATTATGAACAATCCTCTGATGACATCTGGGCAGCTTGTTGTATCGTCACAAAGGTAGGGACATAATGTGAATGAATGACTGTTGTATGCTACATGCTTTGAGGAATCATATCTAATTATCTGAAAGAAGTTGGCTGACTTTTCAAATGATTGCAATGTGGCATCTCTTCACTGTTAAGTTCACAAAATTTTGTCTTTTTTGTTTATGTTTGTCTGTATGATAGCCATGTTTAAAAGACTAACAGAAGCTTTTGACAAAATATGTCTTTCGTCAATTATAGCTGCATTCTTTTTCTCACTTTCAATGTCTTATCTCTTATGTTGTTGGCAGGGTTTTAATTTCCTTTCAATATACATAAAAAAATTCTATTAAAAACAGCATAGATGTTATTGGTTTGGATATACTTTATTGGGCAATTTATTCATTAATTAATTTGCAAGGTGGGGCACATGGAGAGGTTTAATCTTTTTCTAACTCATGGCAGTTTTGAAATATGTTGGATTTCTATTGCAAAATTTATACCTTGAAGTTATATTTTTTTCATCCAATAAGGCAGAAAAAATACCAAATTCTTATTTAAATTTTTTAAAGTGATTCTATATGTCTGAGCATATGATCAGATAAAAGCATGCATAAATTTTCCTCAAGATGATTAAGAAGCATTCATATGTTTGTATCTTGTGTATACACATTGTAATGGAAAAGTAACCTGAAAATTAAATAATGAATGCAAAATAAAAGGTTATTATTCTGTTCTGGCTCCTTTTCTTTAATATGGATACTATGGGCTGAAGTAATAATGGATATTGGGGACATTGAGGTGTTTTAAACATCTGAAAAAGATGTGGACCCAAACCAGCCGATGTTCTGAGGTTGACTTTTTAAATATGCATGAGATACTTATAATTTGTGGATGGACAGTTCATTGTTTTCTTGGTATTGATCAGTCTTTTTAAACATTCATGAGCCATGCTATTGAGTGAGTGTCCTAAGAGGGTTGAGGCCAGAACAATTGTTATGTGAATAATGAAATAAGAGTAGAGAGCTTCTCTTCGTCACATATTCCCTCTCTTTTCCTATTTAAGATTAAATATATTGCTATTACACTCTAGTAATCTGATTTACAAAGTGTATAAAAGGTAAGAGTGATTCTAACTGACATTGAAAAGAAAATTTTCACTGGCACTAATATTTGTTTTTTTTGTCTTTTATTGGGGGGGGGGAATTGGCTTCTTGATCCTCATTGTTGACACAGTGAGCCAGTTGCCGATTTCCTTCATCTGTTCTCCTTCAGCTCTTTGGGCCTAATATTATGGCTTTCAGAGAACTGGAACCTTTTAAAATGTAGTTGGATGCATTTTAAGTGTAACCGAAGGACACTGATGGACCATTAGTTTTCTTGTAGAGTTTTTCCTCATCTGGAGAACCTTAAAGGGCTGATATCAGTCGTGCAAGTCTCCATTCCTCCATTCCTCCTTATATCCTAAATAGTCTCTTCTGATATTACCAAACCTTAAGAAATAGGTCTGCCAAGTTTGTTTCTGTAAGGGCTTTTGAATATTTCCCTCAAGGCCCACTCTGGGATTCTCTGTATCAGAAAAGTGTTTGATACTTGGAACATCTATTGTCACTCAGATTAGATGAATGTTTCTTAAACTGGGTTCTAAATTTGTTGTTGTTTTCAGATCAGTTCAATTCCATCAGGTAAATGAACACTACATCCATAACAATTTATATTAACAGATCTCTCCTCAGATCTCACAGTGAAACAGTTGGGAAAATCATTGTGAGAACACTTTTGGTTGAGCTCTCATCAAATCAATGAGCTTTTTAGTAAGAAAACATCGTGGAAGTTCTTCCTTCAGTTTAATTTTTCTGGAAGTGGATTTTTGACAATCACAATAATCAACCTGTTATACTGGAAGTTACATATAAAGGTAAAGGTTCCCCTTGCACATATGTCTGGTTGTTCCTGACTCTAGGGGGTGGTGCTCATCTCCATTTCAAAGCAGAAGAGCCAGCGCTGTCCGCAGACATTTCCATAGTCAGGTGGCTGGCATGACTAACCACCCAACGTGCACGGAGCGCTGTTACCTTCCCACCTATTTTTCTACTTGCTTTTTTTCATGCTTTTGTACTGCTAGATTGGCAGAAGCTGAGATCACTCCGTTAGGCGGCACTAGGGATTCGAACCACCGAACTGCTGACCTTTCTGATTGACAAGATCAGCGTCTGAGCCACTGAGCCACCGTGTCCCTTCCTGAAGTTACATAGACCATTTGATTAATAGTTTTGTTCCCATTATTGACCAATATACCAATATATGCAAGCTCATGTATCTCCATTATAATATATAATCAGTTAGATATAAAGGAAAATACACTTATTTTGTGGTCTTGGATTCTAGCTTTCTGTGGATTTAAAGAAGAATGAATTAGTCAACAATGATTAAAGTAACCAACAATCCAAACTGATACAGTTATTGTTATTTGTAATTTAGAAAATCATGTAGTGTCAGGGTTTATACTCTCTATGTACAGTGCTGTGTATGTTCAGATTCGAAGGAATTTAATTTGAACTTCAGCTTTATACATTGTTAGCTGTTTTGTGTGCCTCAATGAATAGAAAAGTGAGCTATTTATTTATTTATTTATTTTCCACAGAAAATTACGCAAGGAATAAATATTTCCCAGATTCGAGGGCTTGGCTTTGATGCTACCTGCTCCCTTGTTGTTTTGGATAGCAATTTTCATCCTTTGGCAGTAAACTCTGAAGGTAAAATCTTCAAATAATGACTAAATTTGCAATAATAAAATGATAATTTAAAAATAAAATCTGGACTAAATTTGCAATAATAAAATGATAATTTAAAAATAAAATCTGGGCAATAATAATATAGCCAGTATAAATTCAATTATAAATTGGGCTGATAGTGAATTATCCACTTTTCAGATAGATGTAATTAAAATATTTGTATTTAAGTGTATAGGATTTTCATATATTTTTATGGAAGGAAATTTATTATCAAGTTTTATCTAAAGTAAAAAGTTAAGTGAACTAGAAAGTGAAAGTGTGAATGCAAAGAGGGGGTTTGGCTCAATCAGAAAGAGATAAACATTTCTTTATAGGATGAGGGCTGCAGTAAGAAGGCAGAGTAAACAGTCTTATTTTGGGGATTTGAGACATTTTTTGACAGTATCTTCATTCTTATCTCCTTAAAAAAATGAACGGTTCATCATTTTGGATCTCCAGCAAATTGCAAAGAATTAAAAGGAAAAAAAAAATGTGGAACCGACAAATTTTGCCTCCCTGTACCGCGCACAGCCTCCTCCTCAAGGACTGGACTGCCACAAGCCCCCTGGGGTGGCACGCTGCCCTGGCCACTGAGTGAGACTCAGTGAGGACCTTTGCCAGGAAAGCAGGAGGAGAGGGCACAAGCCTCCTGGAGGCAAGCCCTGCCGCAGAGGCTCTACAGGCGCAGGAGCGCTCCCCCGCTTCCCTCAAGGGTTGAGCGACAAACTGCGGCT